AAGGCTGGAAATATAATGAAAGAAATCTTCAAGAGATAGGAGGCACGTTCACAGCTAGTTTATCTTATAAATGGCAACTCAGCTCAGATGGGGAGGAACCTGGGAAGCATTTCAGATTACTAAAAGGAACTCTACGTTAATGAACCCTTTATAAACCACTTGGCAACTTTAAGATGTGTGGACTTCAACTCCCAGGATTCTCCAGCCTGTATTAAAGTTGCCAAGGTTGGAAAACACTACAATAGTAGGGAAAATGTTCTTTCAGTGTTCAACAGTTTCCTTTTTTACCCCTGATTGGGAATTGAAGTCTATTTATTTCTTGATTTCTTCATCTTGCCCAGCTGGATGGGGCTTGACAGACACACAACTGTGGCATGGTGTAAAAGATTGGAAATAGATATCGCTCCCTATGTTCTTACACCACCAAGGGACATCTGGGCTTTTTTTGGAACTGTGGAGCAGAGAGTTTCCCATTGGTGGGAAGATCCTCCTCCTCTTCCTCTTCTTCCTCCTCCTCCATCATTTTCATAGTTCATAAGAGTAGGAATCCAATGTTGTGTAGAACAGTAATAATTTATTCTAAAGCAGTGGAATCTTGTAAGTCTGAATGTACATCCCTCTCTCACCCTTTGTTTTCATGAAAACTAGAGTAAAGTTGGAACAAGACCTTTACTCAGGTTACATTCCTGTCCTGGACTCCTTAGTCTACTTTTATCTGATAATTGTCTTGGTAGGGGCTTTTTCTAATGGTCATTTTTTCTGCCCTCTATAACCTCACTTCCTGTAATCATATAACTTACACTAGAAGTGTCAAATTCGTGGCCCATGGGCCAGATGTGTCACATGCTGACCACACCCAACCCCAGTTTAGCAAAAGGGAGAAAAAGTCACTATACATCACGTGACGACAACATAAAGCTGCAAGTTTGACACCCCTGACTTATGATTTTGCCTCATCCTAGTTTTTCCGATTTAATACAGAGTGTCTGAATTTCCCAAGCCTTGGTAACAGTCATAAAACAAGAAATGAATCATTATTGTAGTTATGAACCATCAGATTTACTGTTGGAAAACTGAAGTATATCTTTGTTTGGATCAATAGTATTTACCTCAACTGAATTTATATCAGGTGAGAAAGAAGCACAACAAATAAATTCTTCAGTTAAGAACTGTTTATTCAAATGCAGTCTCTATTTTTTTTATATATTAAGGAAATTGTTCCTGGTGCTTTCTCTAGTCACACTTGATTTATGTATATTACAAAATGCTACTAATGCTTATTTCTGAGAAATTGATGCCCTAAACACAATTTTTGATGTGATATTTGTTTAGGGATGACAGAAATTTGAAAGCAAGATACTTTAGTCATCTGTTTTCTCATCCCTTTCTTTCGAAGTCTTTTAGACTTTCATTGTTTACCTTATTATAGTTGCAAACTGAATCACTACCATAAAAGGTATTCTTTGCATAATGGAAATGTAGATTCTTGGGCTCTAGTTGCCTTTAGAGCTTTATATGCTATGGATGTGCTTGCCATTGCTTCTCCTAGGGCTGAGACAGAGTGACTGGCCCAAGGTTATCCAGTTGGTTTTCTGCTTAAAGTAGGACTAGAGTTCATGGTTTGTAGCCTGGTACATTAACAACCATTCCAAACTGGCTCTTTGTGGAATATACTACAGCGGCAATAATAAACTGTGTGCAATTAGGAGACGTAATTCTGTGACCAGCTTCCAAATTCATGGTATCTTTGGTAGTATGAGAATTTGGCTTTCCTTGGTGGAAAATTTGGGATGGAATTTTCAATTGTCGTTCAGGATTATTATTATTTTTACTTATGAGCAAAATAGCTTATGTGTCATTTTATTAATACAAACTAGGGTCATGAAAGATGGGTCTGATAAACAAGGGTTAATTAAAGCAGTATTATTGCCTTTAAGCTTTGCTTATAGGATTTCCGGCCTTTGATGGGAATAGGCTACTTGACAGATGTTCCTTGTTTATCTCATCCAATAAAGTTCTTCTTATTCTTTACACATAGATTTATTTCTACACAGCTAATCTTCTTGTTAGAAGAAGTAACAATAGTTCAGTAACAGAATACCTGGTATTTTATGTGATGTTTCGGGTTTAGATTTCAGTACACTCTGAGTAAGACTGGAAAATTACTGTGCCTCAAATTTGTTTGTTCAATTTCTATAGCCACCCATCCCAAGCAAGTAACCCTTGATTGCATCAAGAGTTGATATATCAAATGTTGGAAACTTGTATTGATTAGTCTTGCAGTATTAATAGTACATGAATTCCCTTCTGTTTGGGGTGGCTTATTTCCAAAATCAGCAAATTTTGATTTTGGATCTCTAGGTATCATTACATTTGTCATTATCCTCATATTGGCTGGGGATGATGGGGGAATTGATATGAATCAACATTGCAGACCCAATATACTTCTTTTCTGTTGTCTTTATTCATGAACATTGGATTCATTCTATCTTGAGGTAAGTTTAGGGATGCGATGGCTCAGTGGCTAAGATGCTGAGCTTGTTGATCAGAAAGGTTGGCAGTTTGGTGGTTCGAATCCCTAGCACCGCGTAACAGAGTGAGCTCTTGTTACTTGTCCCAGCTTCTGCCAACCTAGCAATTCGAAAGTATGTAAAAGTGCAAGTAGAAAAATAGGGACCACTTTGGTGGGAAGGTAATATTGTTCTGTGTGCCTTCAGCATTTAGTCATGCTGGCCACATGACCATGGAGATGTCTTCAGACAGTGCTGGCTCTTTGGCTTTGTAATGGAAATGAGCACTGCCCCCCTAGAGCCAGAAATGACTAGCACATATGTGCAAGGGGAACCATTACCTTTACGTTTAGGTAAGCTTGGATACTGTGACTGGAAATAAAAATTGTTGCAAGGGATATTCCACTGTGACTATGATACAGATAGTCCTCGACTTACAACCACAATGGGGCCAAAATTCCAGTTGCTAAGTGAGACAGTTTTATGTGAGCTTTGCTCCATCTTATGACCTTTCTTGCTACAGTTGCTAAGTGAATCACTGCAGTTGTTCAGTTAATAACTGTTAAATGAATCTGGCTTCCCCATTAACTTTGCTGGTCAGAAGGTCTCCAAAGATGATCACATGACCCAGCAACCATCATAAATATGAGTCAGTTGCCAAGCATCTGAATTTGGATTATGATTGTGGGGGATTTTGCAGTGGTCATAAGTGTGAAAGGGGGCATAAGTCACTTTTTCAGTGCCGTTATAGCTTTGAACGGTCACTGAATAATATAATAAATCTATTTAAAAAGCAGTAGATGTGCAGGTGCATGTTTGATGGACTCAGCAGATAGTGGTAAAGACTGCCATTGAGTAGAAAATGTGTCCTAATTAATAAAAGATGGAGCCTAAGGCCAAAAAAAAAGAAAGAAAGAAATATCCAAAAATGTTCAAAACATTACATGAAAAAATGACCCTGTGCTCTTTGCTAAAAGGCCAATTCATTCCTCACCCCCATCTGCCACTTCCTCTCTCCAATGGAAGGTCTCCTTTGCCCTGATGTGACAGAAATCAATTAATCATAGTGTTTGGCGGAGAATTTCTCCTACTTTTTCTGCCTTACAGAGAATATGATTTAAAAATCACATATGAAAAGGGGAAAATATTTTAGAGAAATCAGTGGGTCGGATGTAGCACTTCTGCACTTATTTAATGATATGAATGACAACAAAACAGAGTTGGGAGGGACTTTGGAGGTCTTGTAGTCCAACCCCTTGCTCAAGCAGAAACTATACCATTTCAGACAAATGGTTGTCCAGTCTCTTCTTAAAAACCTCCAGGGTTGGAGCTCCTACAACTTCTGAAGGCAAGCTCTTCTGTTGGTTAATTGTCCTCACTGTTAGGAAGTTCCAGGTTCTTCTCTCCTTCCTTAGTATCCATCCATTGCTTCTTGCCCTGCCTTCAGATGATTTGGAGAATAGGTGGACCCCCTCTTCTTTGTGGCAGCCCCTGAGATATTTATACAAGTATGGTATCCAATATGTGTGTGTGTGTGAAAGTGTTGATTCTTGCCCCAGGTTAGATGTTATTGAAGATCTGTTACAAAATGCTTTTTGTCCTAGTTCCATTCCTACCATCTGCCAATGTACTTAAGTACACTCTTAACAGACTACATATAAAACTGTCTTCATAATTTTCTTCTCTGGTGACCTTCAGTGCTCACTTATGAACATGGGTTGTGACTGTATCTTACGATCTCCAGGAAGGCAAAATCCAGAAATGGCTGCTACTGCCATTGTGGAGTCTGTTACGGTTGTCATATTCTCATATGAGTGCTTTGATGCACTGCCAATACACCAGTAAATTAATGACAAAACCACCCACATTAGTCTTCCTGATTGTTTAGCGGGGAAAATGTAGGTGCTAAAACTACTTCCATCAGAATGAATAACTAACATTTGGCTATCTGCACAGATTGGCTGACTGGAATGGGATGTAATTGCATATTTCATGTGTTTACTGATTTGACATAGTGACCCTTTTTGAATAATTAAATATTTTGAATGCTCCTTTATGTTTGTTTCCACTCCTACAAGGGGGATACTTAAGAATGTAAGATTGGTTTATTTATTTATAAATAATAACATTTATTCTGTTATACAATAGTTCTTTGCTAAGTGAGTTTCCTACAGCAGTCTTTTTATGATCAGGATTGTTACACATCCTCAACATTTGAAATGTGTCTGGGAGCCAAAATGTTTGCCTGCCTCTAAAACCTGTTAAATATATGTCTTCATAGATAATCAAGTTAATGAAGTGATGCTGTTGACTTCTAACTTTGCACTACTTACCTTAAGGGATGAAGCAATCAAGCAGGAATAAATTATATTTGGAGATAAGGCCTGTCCAATTTATGAGAATTGATGACTTTGAAGCTTTGTTGATAAATTATTGGCCCTGATGTGCAACTGTGAAATCTAACTGACTTATTTGTTTGATTTGTTCTAGGGCCGACATGTTAAAACCGGACAACTTGCAGCTATTAAAGTCATGGATGTCACTGGGGTAATGTATTCTTATCTCACTTTCTAAATTATGAATGTGTATTATTAAAGTGCAAGGCAATTCACTCAAGAATTTGAAAGCATCCAGAAATTATTTAAATGTTGATTTGGCTTCCATTGGCTCGAGTTGCAATAATACACATGGAGAATTGTGAATAATCACAGTATCATTTCATAGAAAGCCCAGCATCAAGACATTTAGTGTCTTCAGGGGGAAAAAATCACATTAACAAAGGACAGCTATGTGGTTTGGTGATTGTTTAAAAAAATATTTTTTCTTGCTGTTCAACGTATAAAATGTATTGCTTATGTGCTTTGATGAGCAAGGAGAGGCAAAAGATATAACAGTAATTACTATTTTAATCATTTATTTGCTTCATTCTCTGAAAAACTGAAGATTGATTCTCCATGCACTATTTTGGCAACTCTTTGTGGTGTAGGATGCAAAAAAAAAAAGGTACTATAAACACAGCTGAAATTTCTCAAGAAAACTACATTTCATTAAATTTCATATAGCTAATCTCAAGTAGTCCTTCAAAATTCCACACACTACTTGTGAACAAAGGAGTTGGACAGACAGCTATTGCATATTTATGTCTTAGAGCAGTGGTCGCCAATCAATGGGCTGGGGACCACTGGTGGTCTGCAAGAAAATTTTGGTGGTTTGCAGAGAAATGTCCCCCCAAAGTACATACCCCCAAAGCAATTAATCCAGGCTGCGCAGGAACACAAGGCTGTGCTGCCCATATGACCCACCCACCCGCTACGTCCCCTCCACAAACTTTACCTTGAGTAGAGCCACGCGAACTGGAACTGGAAGGTAAGACCAACGGCAAGGGAGGGAAATCTGCCCAGGGTGGCTTGCTGGCATTAGTGGGACAGTTGGTCCCATATTCCAGAGCTGCAGTAGTCACAAGACTGGCCCTTTGGTCATCGTGGAGCAGCTGCTCCTCCACCCGAGTGCACCAACTTGCCATGGACTGGAACAGCTGCTCTGGGATGACCAAAGGGCCAGTCCTGTGACTACTGCAGCTCTGGAATGTGGGACCAACTTTCCCACCAATGTCAGCAAGCCACTATCAGTCAAAATTCATATTAGCAGTCCGTGGGATTTAAAATTATGAGTTTGGTGGTCCCTGAGGTCTAAAAGGTTGGTGACCCCTGTCTTATAAAATATTCTCCAAAGGTTCCTTAAAGGAACATCTCTCTTCAGTAACAATAGTTGTGTCACTACTGAAGAAGCACAGCATGGAGACTTTCCTTGGGATATAATTAACGCATGAGTCAGGGAGGCTGCAGACTTCTGGAGAGATAACTGTACATTGAAAAATGGGATATGCACACCTACTCTTTAGACACCTAAACTCAAAACAAGTGGAGATCACACTCCATTCATGAAATGTTCTCTGAAATTATCTTCTCTTTTGGAACACTTTATAAAATACTCTGTTTTATGCCGTTTGAATGATAATAGGAAAACAAAATAGAACTTACAAGCCTGGCATCAATTTTAGCACTCTTGAAATATCACAAGAACACAAGTGTGAACACTGGTATTGAGAGAACATGTTTGATTTAGGCCACTAACCGTAAATATATTTTAACAATGAAACGGTGAAATATTTTTGTTATAGACATTTCCATTAATTTGGAAGATGTGTGTCTCAGTAGGAGTAAATGCCAGTTGCTGACTCAGGCCTTACACTTGAGCTCCTTTTTTATCAACAAAGAAAATTGTCCAATATGTTCCTTGCTTACATAGATTCTCTTTTTCTCTGGAGTTTCAGTCTCTTGATCATTTCATGGGGCCTTTCCTTTACTTTTGCCAGCCTTTGAGATTCAGTTTTGTCAAACAGCCAGCTGGGCCAGCATGTTTTTAACACCTGAATAGAGAATACAGTGGTCCTACCAATCAAACAGCTGGCTGCAATTGATCTGACTAAAATACTATAATTGTCAGGATTTCGGCAGTTACCCCAATTAAATCATGAGTCTCAAGCCAAACTTCCAAAACTAAACAGGATTTATTGGGAGTTAACATGTCAGCACTACCCAGGTGTAGCCAACTCTGAGACACATAATTCACTGTCATTCTTGACCCTGGTTTCCCCCCACCCCTCTGGGTGTATCATAATTCATATTCCCCAATGAGACACATCCATAGCCAAGAATCATCAATCATGTTTTCCAGTTAGATTTTTGCATGGCAGAAACTTCAGTCACCTAGTTATAATCTCTGAAAAATTATGTATGGAATGTACTTTCGATTTCCAAGCTCCCACACTGTTCTTTCAAACCCCTTTTCCCCCCTCCCTTTCTGTTGGCAACTATAAAATGGCCATAGAAATTTCCTCTTTGAAATGAATGTTGATATAAAAATAGCTAATTCTCTGCAAGAAGTAAGGCAGTTTCTTCTGGAGATCTGTGGTGTACCTGCTATTGAAGACGTTATGCATATTCTGTTTGGTTGCAACCTGTATTCTGCAGAGAGGACCATTTACTTAGATTTTTAATTAAACACTGAAAAAATACTGGGACACCCAATTGATAAAAGGAACAGAGATTTTCTAGGTATTCGGCTTGCTAGCCTTTTTATGGGGAAAATAAACAATTTGCTTGCTACAGAAACCTAGAAGGAAAAGTATAAAATAACTTAATGTTTTTCTGGAAATGTAAGCACTCTAGGAATTGCTTAATAAGAGTTTTAATTCACTAAACCACATGCTATTTTTAAGATTTATGGCTGTATGTCTTGCCTAGAAATATAGTGTGAGATTGTCTTCAGAAAGAATTTGCTTTAAAAAGACAAATTAAATGAGCTTGTGCTCCCTCTCTCATTAATCACAACAATTTCTTACTTCTTTCATTCTTTCTCTTACACATGGCTTTCCCACACTCATTCATTCATTAATACTTAAGGTCTCATCCTATTCATTCATACACAAACACACCTCTCTTTCCATCCTCCACATATGTTTGGCAATTCTCCTAGGAGGACTGTATAAAAAATGACAACAGTTTTGTCCCTACCTGTAATAGTGTTGTTTTTTTTTAAGGATAAGAGATCTCTAATCCTAGAGGTTTTTAGTCCCAGAGTCTTAGAATTTCCTCTGACAACAATAGCTGAAAATCGTTAGCAAAATATTGCTATTTGGAATCTGGGAGTGGACAATGTATGAACACACTGCAATGTGATCTTTAAAATTAGCATATTCAATTAACAAGAAAACCTCCAAAATTATTTCCTCCATCCTCATATAGTCTTGTATTTACTAAGTTTAACCCTGCTTCTCTCCTCCATTATGTGTGGCCCACCCAAAAACTTACTTATACCTATCTTTAAGCAAACAAACCTTTTTCATATTATAAGATAACAGTTGACTGTGTTGGTGTTTCTATGGTAAAAAAAAATTCTGTGTACGTTTTTATAACAGCAATAGCAATAGCATTTAGACTTATATACTACTTCACAGTGCTTTACAGCCCTCTCTAAGCGGTTTACAGAGTCAGCCTATGGCCCCAAACAATCTGGCTCCTCATTTTACTGACCTTGGAAGGATGGAAGGCTGAGTCAACCTTGAGCCAGAGAGAATCAAACTGCCAAACTGCCAGCAGAAGTAGCCTGCAGTACTGCATTCTAACCACTGCCCCCCCGCGGCTCATGAGAGCCAGTTTGATGTAATAGTTAAAGGAGTAAGGAAATCAGGAAACCATGAGTTCTAATCCTGCCTTAAACATGACGCCAACTGGATGATCCTAGACCAGTCACTCTCTCTTAGCACTAGGAAACAGGCAATACTAAAGCCCTATTGAAAATCTTGCCAAGAAAACTGTAGGAACTTGTCTACAGAGTCATGCATGCATATATCTATGTATGTGTTGCTTGAATGAAAATGATTGTGATTTTTGCTTTATTTCATCAGATGCAAGGAATAGAACTCCGTATGTGAGATGTGTGTTTGAATGTGTACATAAATGTACACATACACTGCGTGCTGATTTTTGCATGAAAGAAGAGTAATGTATTAGGTCAATAACCACCAAGTTTTATAAAATATGCAACATAAAAGTAAACCAAACCAAATGGATGGGGTAAAATACCAATATAGCAGAGTCTCTATTAAAAGTATAACATAGGCTACTATAATAAAAATAAAACTGCATATCTTTCAAAAGAAAGTAATACAAATACAGTAATACAATGTCAGAATCTGCCCAGAATCTAAGTAGTTATTCTTGGAACCAGCTATGCCTTATTTTCATTGTGGAGACACATCATTTGGCTACTGTGCAAGTAATGAAGGGCTTCAAATCTTCTAAAAGATGATGTGCACACAAATTCCCTGGCCTTCCTGAAGATATAAAAGAGAGAAAAACATGTTTGTTTGCTACTTATTTTCTTTATTCACATTCCACCAACCAAGCAACTCTAAGCCCCACTTGCCTTATTCCTTTCTTTCAGATCCTTCTGCCATTAGTTCATCTTCAGTCCACCATCTTCTATGTTTTGGTTTTGCACATGTGTGAAAGAGCCTTTCCTACTTTCTGGCTCATAAATTCCAGGCCCCATTTAAATTCCAGTTGGAACTGAATAGAATATTAGTTTGAATAGGAAGCAGAACCATATGCCTTTAGTGCAAACTACAGTTGACTTTACAAATTTGGATTGTAAAAGTTAGTTTGAAAGAGATTGTTGTAAGACAGTCTGCATATTTCACAAATTTACTGTTTCATAACTATTTCTGGGGGTCTCAAGAGGCTACATCCAAATCTTTTAAGGGCGCTTGTGATTGTAAAGTGTCTGATTGTTTCTCTCTACCATAATCCAATTAACTTCATTGTTGCATGAAGCCAAAATACCAAGCAACCTAATGTAAAGGAAATGGAAAAATATTTACAAGTGGAGCTAAATTTATTCCATAATAAAGATATAAAGAAGGAAGCAGAGTGGTAGAAATAAAAGCAAATGAATTGTTTTTTGTTTGTCTGCATCAGCTGATGAAGAGAAATAACGTCTGGTGATAATAAGGGTGTTGTTCAATTGATGACACTGTTTTATTCTCCCCCTTTTTCTCCAGGATGAAGAAGAAGAGATTAAACAAGAAATTAACATGCTAAAGAAATACTCCCATCACCGAAATATCGCTACTTATTATGGTGCTTTCATTAAAAAGAACCCACCAGGAATGGATGATCAGCTCTGGGTAATACAGTTCTTTTGTTTGTATTTTAGCAATCTTCACTTTTTATTTTCTGTGGATAAATCTGAAATGTAACCAGCGTACCAGTAGGTGACAATACCCCACTCACCCATAGTTAATTTTGGAAGCTACGTACAATTGAGACCTGGTTATTATTTGGATGAGGAAAACCCTCCCCCCAAACATATCAGAACTGTTGGAAAATTGCAAAGATGTCCTTTAAGAAGATAATGTCGAACCATTTTTTCTCTGTAGTGACCAGGAATTTGATTAGATTGAAGGGAGACTTGACTGCAAATACTACAGGTTGTCCTCACTTAATGAGCCTAATTGGGACAAGCTAAGCAAAGCAGTCAGTAAGTGGGAAATCATAGGACTGCAACCGTGGTTTTTGGTGAGAAAGCAACAAAACAATTCAGTTTCACACCTTTGATTTTGTTTGTCCGATTTCTTCTTTCTGGGAAATGGGAGGCGAAGAAGATGAAAAAAGCAATTTCTGTAGGCAGCATCTCCTTTGCCTGACTCTTCCACTCATCCATTTACAGAGCAGGGAGATTGGAGAGGAAGGATTTCAAAAGAGTAAGCTGCTTGCTCTACAAGGGAAGGTAGAAAAAGAACCCCATAGAGTAGGCACTTAATGATGATCATGTGACCAAAGGATGTGGAGAAAATCATAGATGTTGGTAATGGGACATAAGATTATAAATAAATAAATAAAAATAAAATAAAAATAAAATAAACAACCATCTCTGGTTTGAAGAGAGCCCTAATTGCAATTTTGATTACAACTTTAAATCAGGAAAAGTTTGGCCACATCTTTCCCAACTAAGAATTTTTTTATTAAAACACTGAAACTCGTACTAAAAATTGCACATTGTTCAACATTACCATGTGATGCTTTCCTTTGGCTTAACACTGCTTGCTACAAGCAGGAGCAGAGAAAAGCACACCTTGTTGATGCTGAGAAAAGGTATAAGACTCTTAAGTTGTTTGCAGGTTTTCAAAAGCAATCTCAGCGGGGTTTGCAACAATTGTTTCTTCAGCATCCATCGAAAGAAGGTGGGATATAAATATTTATGAGATACCAACGCTTCTGGTTTTGTTACGTTCTCCTACATTTATTTGAATGCTTAGAACGCATCTTTTCTTGCAAGTCTGCAGTTCAGCACCTGTGCATTGTTAAACATTTCCGTGGTGATGGCTGTTTCTTTTAACTAATTTCTAGAGTTAGTCCATGATTCGAATCACCTGTTCAGAAAGGGTCGCTGGGTGCAGAGGAGAGGTGAATGTACATTTTGTTCCGTCCAAGGAAATTACTATATTTTAGATGTCTGATTGAATTAGAATTGGTGACACTTCTATTCTTTCTGCTCTGGAGATAAATGCATCTTTATTTTTTTGCTGTCATTGTTGCTGGAATAAAACTCCTTGATGATAAGGCCAAAGTAATTCTCTTTATCAGTCCTTTGCTGAGGTGATAATGGAAAGGTGGAAGGGAAGCCAGGTTTTTTTTCCAATACAGATTATGATCTGTCTCTGCAATAAGGCAGGTTTCTAACATATTCTATGGCTATCATGCTTGAAGTGCCCCTTTTTATTTGGCCTGCACATATTGCTCTGTAACAAGAAGAAAAAAAACACCACAGGTCTATTAAATGTTACCACTTTTCCTCAAATATGAAGGTGGCAAATTCTAGCTTGATTTTTCTCCAGGAAAACCCAACTTTTCTAAATACAAAGGGAATTGGATCTTGTGCTCACCTCCTGATTCGGTAGAATTCCAATGTCTTACCTTGTTTTCAAAAGTCGTCATTTCAGATTATTTGTCCTGATAGGAGAAGTGCTCTTGGAAAATTCCAGCTATAGGTGGAAACTAATCAAGGAGAGAAGCAACCTAGAACTAAGGACAAACTTTCCTGACAGTGAGAACAATTAATCAGTGAAACAAGTGCCTCCAGAAGTTGTGAATGCTCCAACACTGGAAGTTTTTAAGAAGAGATTGGATAACCATTTGTCTGAAGTGGTGCAGGGTTTCTGGTCTAAGCAGGGGGTTGGACTAGAAGACCTCCAAGGTTCCAACTTTGTTATTCTATATTCTAAAATGGGAAAAATCTTTTTTAGTGACCATGCATTTCAAAAGCAACGGGAGGGCTTATTTGGTCCTTTCTCTCTCATTCTATGGTTCTGTCCTATTGACTGATTTCACAGTTGGGTTTTAGAATTAGTGGATGTTATTGTAAGGGTACTAATTTGAGTTATTCTAAGTTGTTTATACAGGCAGTCCTAGACTTACAGCAGTTTGTTTAGTGACTGTTCAAAGTTACAGCAGTACTGAAAAAGTGTCTTATGATTGTTTTTCACACTTACGACCGTTGCAGCATCCCCCATGGTCACATAATCAAAATTCAGATGCTTGGCAACTGATTCATATTTGTGATTGTTGCAGTGTCCTGGGCCCATGTAATTGTCTTCTGACAAACAAAGTCAACGGGGAAGCCAGATTCAGTTATCAGCTGTGTTACTAACTCAACAACTTCAGTGATCCACTTACCAACTCTGTCAAGGGAGGTCATAAAATGGGGCAAAAGTCACTTCACAAATGTCTTAGTTACCAACATTGTGATGACCCAGGGTGTGGCACAAAGGCAACACAGTCAGATAATCAGTAGGAGTCCCTTTATTAGCTCCAACTTTGCCCCAAATGTCCTGGTTACCTTCTGGTCTGGAGAAAAACTCTCCCAGGAACAGCCTTTGGCTGCAGAGAATCAAGTCCAAAATGTGGTCAACAAAAACTGTAACTATAAGTCCAATCAAGGTAAAATGAGGCAATTAATCCGGCAAGGCAGGAGCAAGAATTCCAGACATGAAAGCACGATAATAACTCAACATGGTTGGGAAGACGCAAGGAACACAGATAACCAAAGTCGACACAAGATAAATTCACGTTTGCTCCCAGCACACAGCATGCATCTCTTTTAAACTCTCATTCCCAGGTGTGGCAAATGAAGGGAATTAGGGCCCTTTCCTCCCCCGTAAGCCATACAACCCACGTTGCTCTCTTCTCCGTTCCTTCCTGCGTGCCCTAGGATGAAGAAGGCGTGGGCCTGGATCTTCCTCTGAACTCCCTCTCCCTTGTTCTACTCTCTCCTGCTCTGCCCAGCCGGATTTTGCTCTTCCCCAGTTTCCTCCACAGCCAACGGAGCCACACTCCCACTCCCTGTCATCTGTTCATCTTCCTCCTGAGATTCAGACTATGACAGGGGCATGACAAATATAAATGTTGGGCTCAGTTGTGGTCATAAATCAGGGACTACCTCTATCTGGTTCAATTATCTTTCATAACTTTGGTATTGTGGTTTAGTAATTGGTTTTAGCTTCTTAGCCACCTTGAATCCTATGTGATGGGGAAAGGTTATGCCTTTTCTTAATGAATATTGCGATACTGGACAGCTTCTCTGTTTGTGGGAGCTGCCAGAGTCAAGTCATTGGCAGTAGCCCAGCAAATATTTTTGATGCTTTTAAAACCTTCTTCACAAAATTATCTCTATTTGGCAATCATGTCTTAAAACCCCTCTGAAGTGTGGAAAATAAGTTCTGGCAGGGCGTTAAATCAAAATTCTAGCTTTAACATCTATATGTGAGGACACCTTATTATTACTGTTTAAAAGGACTGCCCATTTTAAATAAATATTAGTGAAGAGATCATAACATAGATAATAAATTGTTCTGGCTTACAGACCTCTGCGCCCAGAATTAGATCAAAATCTTAATCAGCTTTCATCAATTAGGGAAAGCCACGGTGGGAAATGTGAGCTCTGATTGGGGAATTCTGGGAGTTATAGATAATTTCTAGAGGTTTACTAGATTGGCCATAATTCTTTGAAGATAATATGATTTATCACTTACAGCTTTTATATACAACTAACTATACCTGTGCTTCACTATGAAACTATGTGATCATGCTTAGTTTTGGGGGAGGAAGATAAGGTGGGGGGATTGTGTCTCTGCCTACCAGCATCCATCAGTATTCATCTGGCTAGGGTCCTGTCAGTGTGTGAGAGAGTTGACGGCTGTTTGGAAACTGAAACGTGGAAACTGAAACAGTATTTGCTGTGTGAGCAAGAAGGAGAGAGCAAAGGAGCCTGGGCATGGCTTAGCTCAACTGTTCTGTACTAAAGCTGGTTGCTGCTTATGTTTTGCATTTGGAACAGATTTATTTTCAGGTGGGGAGGGGGAGTAGAACTCCTTAGCATCAGAGCGTGTTAATAATAATATACGAAATACTAATCTGCTGATGGCCATTTTGAAAAATCTTTTCTTAGTGAGCACCTAGAAGCCAGGAGGAATATACATGCCAAATTTCAAGTTTGTAGGCTTTACGGTTCTGGAGATTTGTGATGATGCCTGAATGAAACTTCACACACACACACACACACACACACACATACACACACATATATATGTGTGGATCTTTGGTTATTCGGGTTTTCTCCCGTGTAAAATTGGAAATATCTAGGTGAAGTCTCATTCATCATCTTCAGGCTTGTGTCTTCAGCTTTGTGCTTCTCGGAGTAAGGGGGAAATTCTGTCCTATGAAGAACCTTAACAATCCAATTCTCGTGGAAAAGATGGTCTTGGATTCCGTGCAGTTGGGGGAGCCCTACTGATCTCCCATTCCAAGTTAGCTGTCCCAGCTGACCTCACTACAATTTGGGAATGATTTTGAAAACTGGTTCCAAATATGAGTTTTACTCTGAGAAGCACAGAGCCGAAGACACAAGCCTGACGATGATGAATGAGACTTCATCGAAACGTTGCCTAGATACTTCCAATCTTACATGGGAGAAAACCTGAATAACCAAAGATCCACATACTAATACCCACGAGAACCTCAGAAAATATATATCTGTGTGTGTGTGTGTGTGTGTGTGTGTGTGTGATGAGAGCTTATACACCAAAGACAAATTCCTTGTGTGTCCAATAAGGAATTCCATTCCATTCCA